GGAAGTTTTTGAGTTCTTTTAAGCAAATGTTGCAGCACAGCCTTTTTAAGACATGGTGAAATTGTCCCTTGTAAAAAGGTGTTCACCACTCTCTTACCCACCTGGCTGGTTCCCTGGCAGCTGTTACCATCCAAGAAGGTTTATGTCCACACAGGTTCCAAGATTCTGGTCCACATCAGGTCCCAGCTTGTTTGCCTTTATATGCCCTGATACTAGTGCTTAATTACAATTACACATCTCAATCATACATGAAGGGAATGTATACTTGCCCACCCAACTAAACTGTTCATGCTGCCAGCACAAAGTTGAGCTTTAAACAAGGAGATCTCCCCTTTAAGAAGTAGGTAATCCCCTGAAGAAGGCAGCCTGTCCGAGATCAAGCCATCCTTAAGAAGGCCCTAGTGCTAGCCTGAGCTCAAGGAAATGATTAATTTTAGCATTTGTACCAATTCCCAAGGATGGATCTAAAGGCCCAAAAGAATCAGGCTAGTGAACTGTCTGATTTCATGGATGCGCTACATTTTATACATTATATTCACAGTTTGTGGTTGAAGTACATTATCTCTGTAAAATGACTCATAATTACAACTTTTCAATGAAGGGAAAATGCTGATCACTCTAATGCACAAGCATTGTGGTTACGTGGTTAGATACTACATTGAGTTTATACACCGATTCTCCAGCAGTAAACAAGCCCTTCAATAGTATTTTTGTGGGGTGGGGAATACGCAGCTATCTCCCTTCTCAGATTAAGAAAACAACAAGCAGTAAGGACTACATTGCACATTCCTACTTACAGGAATATTCGCAGGGGCACCAGGTGCAAACCTTGCTCCAGCATCATAGGCACCCTCAACAAGAACAGTGGATCCAGGAGGATAGACGGGGCCCACAGGGTAAAAAGCCACTGGTACTGATGAACCCATTGGACCCATAGCAACAGATTGAGCCATAGGAAGGTACAGCGAAGCACCAGGGTAAGCAGCAGACATTGTAGGTACAGTGGCAGCCCCAGGATGCACAAAGCTTGGACGGTAGAGCTGAGGAAAGAACACAGAAAAATGTCTTTATTCCAGAATGACAGAGTCAGAGACTTTCCACCTGAAAAAACCTAGCTCCACTTAGAAGCTGTTTCCTCCTAACCAATTCTCACTGGCAAAAGAAATATAAGCCTAAGAATATGGGAGCTGACTTTCTTAAAGCAGGCCAAGGTCCATTTCAGCCAGCAATTTATTCCTGGCAGCAGCCAGCCATTTGCTTCTGGGAAGCTCACAAACAGAAGACACAAAACTGACTGCCTTCTGTATGTCTTAACCACCCGGTCTTCTAGGGCTTTGGCTTAACCGTTCCTACAAGTTGTGGACAAATCAGGGAGCTACTGAACCACACAGTAACAGCAGGTCTTCAGAACTTCAGACAGAAGTCCATCCTTGCTCTGGAATCCAGGCCTCTTATAATCAAGGATTGTAGTGGACACTTATGTGCCAAGCAAGTGCTTTGCCATTTTTTCATATTAGACATCTGATGGCGGTGTTTTAAAAAAGAGTTCTCACTAAGTTTTCTCCACCTGTAGGACCACATGGTTAAAAAGCTAGCACTGTGAATATTTTAAGGAATTTGTTAAGACCTTTGTTTCTTTGGGAAAGAAAAGTGAAAACACATCCCTTGGTATTTTTGCCTACAGCTGGGCTAACAGGAGGGATCTTTTGCAATAGAGCCCCAATCAGCTGGACAGACTAGCATTGTCAGGGTGCCACCAGTCAAGATAAACCTCTTATAAGAAACGTGCTTTACTGAGGAACTTTCTTTAAAAAATGCACTGTGAAGAAAAATCCTCCATCTCCCTCATGCAGCAAAACACTCATGAAAGATACCAGAACAATTGTTTATTACTACAGTGTGATGAAGACATACCAATATGCATGCCATCATCATGGGTCACATCTAGCATTTTTCAGTTTTAGGTCATGACATAAGTAAGCTGCATTGTGACCCCTTGCCATAGCAATTATCTGGGCTGATCCATCTCAAAACTCCAGCCGTTATAATATCAACAGACTGGCATTCTGGATGATTCTGTTGCCATGCAAGACCCAGGATTGTGTTGAAGCATTCAGATATGCAAATACTCTGCAGCTGTCAAAGATATAAGCAAAACTTTGTACAAATTCAACAGAAGCCCCACTAAGGTAGGGCCTGGAAAGATGCTTTGGGACAATCAAAAGGTTACCAGGTATGTTAACAATCCATTGGAATTTCCCTTCTTATAATTATTATTCAACACAATTATAATATTAAGAAGGTAGAAAAGACCTCTGGCCTGATTCAGGAGGGTTCACGTATCTTGCTAAGAGGAGAGTGGACTACATACCTCTGAGTAAGCAGGAGGAGCCTCGGTGTAAGGTGGAGCCTGAGGAAGTGGTATGGTCTGTGGAAACACTGATGGATTACCAGGAGGCTGAACTGAGTAAGATGGCTGTGGAGGATATTGACCTAAGAGAAGTAATGTTAGCATAAGTGTCCTTGCTGCAAGGGAACAGGAAGTATGTTTACTCTGGGAAACACCCTCCTTTGGGAGCTTTAGCTGAAAGAAAGAAAACAACTCTCCAAGAAGAGACTTTCTCAACTGAAGAGAGTCCAGGGACCACAAAAATGGCTACCTTGCACTTGCAGAAAGGTATCTAAAATGTAGAAGATTCATTGCAAGATGCTCAGTTGATCTCAGACCTGGTCTACTAACAGGTTTAAGAACAAAAGCAGTTGATAATTACATCACATTTTTTTTTAAAAAATGTATAGTGCCATCTCAGGAGAGCCTTAAAACTATTTCAGAAGTTAGCAGGAAAACAAATCATTTCCCATGGTGGTCTACCAAATCCATTTTCATCTTTTAACTTTCTAATTTGACACAGCAGATTGATTTTACACAGTCTGATACGTGTTAAGCAAGCAACATATTGCTATCTATGAATAGTAGCCCAACAGCACAATCCTATGCATGTCTATGTAGAAGTAAGCCCCACTGAGTTTAGTAAGATTTATGTTCAGGTAAATTAGTACAGGACTGCAACTTAATTTAACTTCTCTCCAATATATTCCATTTGCCCATTTAGTACTTTCACCCTACCAGTATATTTCAGGTGTTCATATACAGCTTACTGTTAAAAAAAATCAAAGCAGTTCACAAGATTAAAACATAATTGAAAGCCCATTCAACATTACAAAAAACAAAATATTAAACCTATATATCAAAACATGGCTGCAGAATCAGTGGTATTAATCAGGGAAAACACAAAGAGGTGCATTTTTAATAGACACTGCAAACACATTACTGTTGGGGGCTCCAAAATAATGAAGCTGAAGTTAGTTTCCACATTGCTGCCAAATAACATTCCACTGGTTGTAGTACAGCCTAAAAGGCCCCCTCTGCAGACCACAGAGACTGAAGGTTTTTCAGAGTAGAAGATGGTCCTTCAAGTAATCTGGGACCAAGTTGTTTAGGGCTTTATATGTATACCGCATAGTGATGAGCCATGTTCCAGGTCTTGTTACTATTAAGTAGCCAGTATAGTTCCATCAGCACAGGTGCAGTATCTGGGAGCTGGGCACTCCACCCAGTTACTAGGTTGCAGCATTCTGCATCAACTTCCAAGACCTCCTTAAGGGAAGCCCTACATGCAATGCATTTAATTGTGAGGCTACCAGTGCATGAGTCATAATGGCCAAGTTATCTCCACTTCTTCCAGGATGGTAGTCCTCTCTTTTCAACTTCCAGTCTGATAGCTCAAGCACCATATCCCAAACACAGGCCCTTCTGTTTCCTGTAAATACTACTGGATAAGCATATACAGCATGTCAAGTAGATGAGATTTAACTTAGCATTAAACTCTTTAATTTGTTCTCATCATTTGCATCTGTAGTAGGGAATGGCCTCAGTCTTGATGGGGTCCTGAAGCAGTCAGATTGTTTGGGTAGCTTAGAAAGGGGATTTTGATTATCTATAGCTAGAGAGCTCTCAAACTAAAGATGACCACTTCATCCCTGAAATAAACCAGGAATATTCTGGTTTGTCTTTAGCATGTTTTCTAAATATTTTAATCATCTTGAAAAAAAAAGATGGGCTATATAAAAGTAATGTGGATTTTCACTCCTTGAAGACTTTTCAAGAAAAAAAACTGGACAGGTATTTTTGAGAGGGTAAGCTTGGAGTAGAGATACAAGTTGTTCCATTGGACTTGGGACTTCATGATACACCTTGTTAATATCAGTTCTGTGATCTGTGTCACTTTTATATATAGTCACTCAACTATAAGCTGCCTGGTACTTGACTGGGGTTACTTCCTGATAAATGAGCACAGGATTTGGCAGTCAATGTGCTACTGTTCTCCCACAATCCCACTGTAACTATTCAAGAGCCATCCTGTATTTCTACACAATTTACTTCTTTTCCATTCAAGACCTTCCCTCACAGTCAAGCAAGTCAAGTCAAAAGATAATTTGCTAGCATAGCACCTGTCATACAGAAAGCATAGAGCAAAGAGAAATGCAGGGCTATACCAAATAAGAAACAAGTAATTAGTGTCAGTCTACCAAGAATCCACCTACATATTGTGATTTGTCTGTATGTTGTTCATGTCCACTGTATAGTCCTATCCGATTTTAAATTGACAACAGGTGCTGCTGTCTTTGCCCTACTCTCCCTAAGGATCAAATGCAATATTTCTTCCATTACCTTTTAGCTCTTCCTCAATTCACTATCCTAACTGAGCTTTCAATTTTGACATTTATATGAGAAACACAGAGTGTTGAAACAAAAAATTTAAAAGCTACTCTACCACTGAAAATCCTGCCAGGCCCATAAGCACTCTTTCAGAGATTAGAAGAACAACATTCAACAGCACCTGCACATGACCACAGCATTAAAAACCTCCATGCAAGTGAAGTTCTTCCTCATGTGTAATGCATACAGGCAACTGAGCAGTATGCAAGCGAAAGTAAATGTGGCAGTTATGCTAGAGTAGTAATTCTGGAATGGTAGAATAATCTGGCACTGGGGGCTGTATACCCAGGCTTTTTAGGACTCCTGTTTGAGGAAAGGTCCTTTGCCTTTCCCTCCCAGTAATGATCTGGTTTGTAAAAAGGGAAGATCGCACCCAGTCACCTGCCTCCCAGGGGGTTTCCTACTCGCCAACCAGTACTAGCAACTGTGATCCTCCCACAAGGCTCTGACGTCCAATCTCAACCTTTCTTTATCTCTGTCGCGAGTATCAACATCCAGAGCTTTCAAAAGCCTTTGACGGAGCGGGCCGTGGTCCAAAAGAGCTTATGCCACAATAAAACCATCAGCCGCGAAGATGTCACAGGACTCTTCCGTATTTCCAGCGGCCGGGGGGAGGGAGGGAGAACAGCTCTTTTTGACCAAGAACACTCGCTACCGTGGCAGCCAGAGGGTTAACACTCCGGCCAAGAGGGTTGCGTCATAGCAACCTAACATCCTCCCTTCCCCCACCCTCTTCACCCCGACTTTTCAAGACCTCCCATTGGCCAGGCCTCCCGCCAGTTACGGTCTGGGCCCGCAGATAACGGGACTGCGGCGCCAGCCTTAAAGGGACAGCGCCCCTGCGAAAGGTGAGGCGACTGGGTGGGGTTGTGCATGGTGGTGGGAGGAGGGAGGAACTCAGTCGCTTGCCTTTGCTGTTCATGATGGCGGCGAAGAGAAAGGACGATTCACCCGACTACCGAAGGTTCCGGCGACTGCTGGCTTTGACGGCGGCGGCGGCGGGGACTGTTCTCGCTCAATCACTTCCTTGTTGTTGTCGCTGCAGCCTTGATGAGAGGGTTACGTCGAAGCGCGTGACGTCACGCCGCAGCGGCACCGCGAGGAACGGAAAGAAGGCATGACCGGCAGTGTCAGGGGGCGTGGCATAATCGCGAGGGGGCGTGGCGGTCGAGGCTGAGGCGGCCGTCCGTATTTACGGGGAAGCCTCGGGCGCTCCGACGTCGGAGTTCCCCGAGAGCTCCGCTTCCTCCTCTGCGAGGGAGTTCCTGAAGGCCAGAGGGAGGGGGCCCTGTCAGTGGTCCTGGGTGATTACTGTGTGCCCTGCCTGTCTAGCGAGCCGCGAGGAACATGCAGGAAATGCAACATCAACATAACAATCCCATGGGAAATAAAGCATTAAGCAATAAAATGCAGCAGTATCTGAAACAAGACATTAAAATCTTAAGAGGCCAAAAGCAAAATGAGAGTCCAAAAAGTCGCGCGAACTGTTGTAAAAGCCCTTCCCCGAGAACTAAAACACTATGCAGGTAGGCAGAAGGCGGCACTACTAAGGAATTAGGGTGCCGCTATTAAAAAGGCCCTTTCTGCAAAGACTATTGCTTCACCGGACTTCACGGTCAGAGGCAATATAAAGTATCAGTTGCCGAGGACAAAAAACATTTTCAACTAATGAAAAAGAGGTACACCCCCCAACCCCCACACACACATTTCTTAGAATTAAAATTCTGTTCCCGAAACACCACAAAGCCTGGCTGAATTCTATATATCCATGCTGTGCTCAAATCCTCGACTGCTCTCGTTTATGTAACCGAAATGGCAACACCCACAGAAAAGAGGGAGGTATCAGCAGGTTTAGGGGAGTCCTGCTTTTTGCAAGGGAGAGCAGCTCCCAGGACAGTTTTCAGGGTGCAGGATGTGATTGGATGTGGAGGAGAAAAAATGGAAAATGCGTAGGAGGAAGAATGGAAACATTCTGAAAAGGAACATTCCGCACTGCAATATTCTGTTGCGGGTCCCTCTTGCCATGTTTTGCTGCAGAACTGAACTTCATACTCTGCTTGGAAACAGAAGAGTGGGCTAGGATGAGTCATGGACTCATCCAGCTAATTTCTCATAGCTATGCACAGAGACTCCCAACATTCCAGGTGAGCTCACTATTCCAGCTGGAATCAGCTGAAACTACTAGTAAAAAAGTGGTGTGTGGTGAGGATTTTCCCTTGTTCTTTGTTAGATGACTTAGTTTTACTGTATGAACCCTGTTTTGGTAATCTTACCCTAGGTCTAGAAGGAACTTTTGTTCCAGAAGGAGAAATTCCCTTGTGGTTTGAGTTCAAGGTAACCTTTGGTCAAGAAAATTAAATGAATGCTAATGTATTGTAGAATTTCACTCCTTTGTTGAGCTGGTTTTATTAGAAAGTGTGATAGTGTTTTCTTTTGCTTGTTTGATGATGGGGATGTGATTGATTTCTGGCTATTTTTATTCTAGGGAAGTACTGTTAGCCAGGTGTGCATCTGGGCTCATTTTAATGCAATAATTATAGTGAAATGAAGAGCTATTTTGCATAGGCTTGTAGCTTTGCTTATTTATATATTTCATGTAAATTGGTATGTGAACAAATACACAAATGCAGAAGTGCCATCCTAAATGGCAAATTTTGTGAGAGAAATGACAAAGGTAAGAGTGCTTTATATTTGTTGCCCTTGAATGTAATGTAACTGCCCAGAAACCCTTACGGCTGTGGGGTGCAGCATACAAGTGCAATAAACAAACAAGCAAATAATCAATGTCTTGTTGTGCAATGCTCTTCATAAGGGAGTGTTTGGCTTTTTCACAAAAAAGGATGCTTAGGGTTGCACACCAGGTCACCTATCTGCTACACACTTAATGCACCGCTAACCCAGAAAAATACAAAACAATATTATATCATTTTTCAGATCATGCATCATTCAAACATTAAGTCTTACATGGACTCTGCTTCCATTGGCCTGGCGGTATCCAGGCCTTTTAGCATGGCATTTCAGAGGGTTGACATCAAGCCTGCTAAATTTCAGTTGGATGAAAATCCGAAGTGGAGAGCTGTTGATCATTGGTATACCAGTTCTAAAATGTAGCCTCAATTATCACTCAGAACAAGAATGGGGACAAGGATCCCACAACAAAGGTACCATGGATAGCAGGAACAGCTCCTCATTACTACCCTTGAGAATCCGCCTACTAAGAATGAATGAGTCTGCTAGAGCAGTTCGACAATTTGTCTGGTCTGGCAGACATGATGTCACCCAAGTTTCATGGACAATGGCATCAGAGGCTGCAGAAAGTTAAAATAGGTTCAGCTGAGTTCCTTATTCCTGTCATTCATTGTCTGAGCTGATATTGTGGTAGCCCAAAACTGTAAGCACCATTCCAATATCTTATTCAGAAAGGAGGTGAATCAATAAGGATCAAGAACACTAATTTTCCATTTATCTTTTCTATTTCATGTTTTTAGCAGAGGCTGAGGAACCACAGCCCTACAATCATCTAACACACTACTTTTCTTTAAGACGATAATGACCCCAACCAGTAGGTCATGCTTTTTTTTATCATTTCTTTTTATGGGTTGTGTAAACTGCCCAGAGAGCTTCAGCTGTGGGGTGGTATAGAAATGTAAATCATCATCATCATCCCCTTGTTAGCAATGGCAGAGATCTCTGGAAATGTGTTTCTTTCTTGTGCCAGCAGCTGAGAACTATCAAATGCTCCCTTTTATATTTTAGCCATTAGAAGGTCATATTCTTTGTTAGTTACAGCTGGATCCCAACCTTCTGCCATGGGGCTCCGTGCCATATCCTATCCTCACAACAGCCCTGTGTGGTAGGTCCAGCCGAGATTGACTTGCCCAAAGCCACCCCTTGTGAATTTCATATCTGAGCAGGGACTGGTTTCCCTCCTCCAAGATAAGTACACTATTGCATTGGCCTAGTTAATTAATTAGCATATTAGGAGTTGTAGAAAATGGTTAATTGTTGCTTTTGCAGAAAATAGCAGGTAATTGCCTTTTTGCGGTCTGGGTATTCTCAAAGGAGGAGACCAATGGCATACATATTGAGGGTTTTGGATCCTGTATCCTGAGGACGGCCAGAATGTATAAAAGCCACAGTAGCTACAGATCTTTTGGCTGAAGAGAGTAGGAAGTTAACTTTTGGAGGAGCACTGGTGGTTAACACACCTCACCAGGTTCATACTATTTTAACGCAAAGGGCAGGAAGATGGTTAACTGATTCTAGGATTCTGAAGTATGAGGCCATCTTGACAGAAAAGGAGGATTTAGTCTGTCTGAATCCAGCTGCCTTCTTGACCAAAGGGGAGCACGAGTGTGAAAATTTAGAACATAGTTGCTTGGCTATTATTGAATATCAGACTAAAGTGAGGCAAGATTTGAAAGACCTTCCCTACATGAAGGGACTTGTCTATTGATAGATGGGTCCTCTTGGGTGCTAGAAGGAAAAAGTCATAATGGATATGCCATAGTTGATGGCACCACTAAAGAAATAGTGGAGTCAGGAAGATTACCTAATAATTGGTCTGCTGAAACCTGTGAGCTGTATTCATTGAACAGACCCTCCAACTCCTGAGGGAAAAAGATGGAACTATCTACACAGATTCTAGGTACACTTATGGAGTGGTTCATACACTCGGGAAAATATGGCATGAGAGGGGCCTAATTAACAGTAGAGGGAAAGCGTTAGTACATGGAGAACTTGTACAGCAGGTGCTAGAAAACTTAATCGTACCAATGGAGATAGCCGTGGTTCATGTCTAGTATATATGAGTTAATCCCTAGATTGCCAGAGGTACAGGGAAGACTGGTATGGACTGAAAAAGAAATGCTAGAACTCAAGGAATTAGGGGCGGTTCAGGCAGAAGAAGGAAAGTGGATACTCCCTGATGGTAGAGAGATGGTTAACAAGCAAATTATGAGAGAAATTATGGCCATTTTACATCAAGGTAGTCATTGGGGAGTCCAGGCAATGTGTGATCTGGTACTTAGAAAATGTGTGTGTGTGGGAATGTATACAGTGGCCAAACAAATATGTGAAAGATATTTAACCTGTAGAAAGGTTAATAAGAAGGTGCTGAGAAGTCTTCCACAATGGGGGGGGGGGGGAGTGCACGTAAGCCAGGGTTGCATCCTTTCCAGAGTATTCAAGTTAACTTTACAGAACTCCCTCTGATGGGCAAATTAAGTATATTTTGGTTCTGGTGGATCATCTGACAAACTGAGTGGAGGCTTACCCAATGTCACCTGCCACTGCTGCAGGAGTAAGTAGGGTAATCTTGGAGCATATTCAACCAGATAGATTTGGATCAAGGAAGGCATTTTACTTCTAAGATATTACGAGGGGTTAAAGAAGGATTGGGAATTAATTGGGAATACCATACTCCCTGGCATCCTACTTCTTCCAGAAGGGTAGAAAGAATGAATCAAACACTGAAAAACACATTGTGTAAGTTAGTTTTGGAAACCAAGTTACCATGGACCAAATGCTTACTAATAGCTTTGTTAAGAATAAGGACGGCTCCACGGAAACATACAGGGTTGTCTCCATATGAAATGTTATTTGGCCTCCCATATATGGGTCAAATAGGAGGGTTGGCTCAATATGAAACCAAAGACAGATTCTTGAAGCAATATATACTTGGGCTGTTATCTTCTTTGTCTGTTCTCAGGAAAAAAGAAACAGCACCTTTGGAGTTTGCGGCCCATAGTATACAACCGGGACAGTGGGTACAGATAAAGTCGTGGAAAGAGAGGAAACTCCAACCAGATTGGGAAGGCCCTTTCCAGGTGCTTCTTACCACAGAAACCGCTGCTCAGACCACAGAAAAGGGCTGGACGCATTACAGCCGAGTGAAGGGACCTGTGGAAGAACCCAAAGCGGGGCCCTGGACAATCCAACAAACTGACTCTCCTACTAAACTAGTTTTTAAGAGAATTTAAGGCTAATGAATATTGCTGTATCTATCCCTGGATGGGATGCTGGGCCCAAAGACAATCCTAGCTGGGACCTAGAGGAGCAATT